CTAGGCACGCGCGCTGCAACGCGCGGTTGGGCGCTGCAGCGCAAATAATCGACGGAAAATGTGTTCGTGTGTTTTAGTGATCTGAAAAGGTCTCAAACCATTGCATCTATTTGTGATATGTTTTCTCGCATATCTGAGCACTTATTAACAATAGAAATAACTATTGTTATAAGTGCATCAACATATAAAAGATAACCATCAAATTGAAAAGGTATCTTTATATGAAAGGTTGTAACACTTAAAGAGGATGGATACATCCCTGTCTTTATACGATGGACTTCAGAAAATACAAATAACATTAATTGTTCTGGAACTCAATATTTTTGCTGGATATTGTGTTTAAGGGTTTGTTGTATCTTGGGGGTAATTTGCCATTTAGAACTCGTTAGCAAACTTTGAGAAGTGAGGGCAAATAAAACCTTAAAGGAAAGTATTCCTATACGCCTCAAACCCTTCTTTCTGAATTCTCTATTCTTTTCATCCTCCCAAATCCGAATTTCTCCAACAATAACACTACCACAAATACCAACCATCACTACATTAACAGCAATGTACAACATATCCTCTAATTTAAATCAATTATACATAAAAAAAATAACATTTATTACTTTGAATACACATCTAAATAATATTTTACCATTTCAGCCTCCGCTCAAAAATAATAACATCAACTCCTGTCTCGATTCACCCACACACATTAGACCCAAAAACATATGCTGCAAGGTAAAATCTATTTACCAATACAAAATAGAACATTCATCATTTTAAACACAAATTTTAACAATATTTTATTATTTCAGTTCCCAACCAAAAGAAGCAAAGCACTCCAAAAAAACGCTTAAGAATCAGGTAATATAACTACTCCTAAATAAAAATATTTCAGATTTCCTTAATGATAATTGCTACTTTTTCTCAAAATTTGTCTTGCAGCTAAAAAAATCCTGCAAAAAAAAAAAAAAAACAAGGACAAAGCGTCAACAACATTGCAAACAACTTTTTACAACAATATTATGTAAATATGTACATATAATTAACTATGTACTATAAACATCATCACTTCCCTGTATAATATAAAATTATGTATATATGTATATATAAACTAATTATGTACTATAAACATTATCACTTCTCTGTCACTTTCCTGTATAATATAAAATTATCACACGCCCTAATGTGCGGGCATATAGCTAGTTAAATCCAAAGGCGATTCCATAAATTGTGCTTAATATTTTGAACAATTGGAAATCACAAAACAAAAAAGAAAAAGAATGAGAGAAAAAAAAAAAAAAAAAAAAAAGAAAAAAAAAAAAAACCCAAAAAATGGGTTTTTTTTTTTTTTTTTTTTTTTTTTAATTTACGAATATACCTGAATGTTTTGAATTATAAAAAATTGATCCTTTTAACTTTCTCAAATGTATCAATTCTCCGACCAATTAAGTTGGCCATTGATATTATTATATATACTAAAGAAGAGGCATGGTTTACCGTACATAGTACAATAGAATACCAGTTTTGTCTCTTGAATTTGAATTGTCGAGTTTGCCCTCCCCCTTTTTTTTTTCCTTCCTTCTCCCTTTCATGCGCATGGGCTGTTGGGTCTCTTTCTATCATACGGTTTGATTGTACATTTTTATCCTCAATTTTTTATTTCTTTATTTGTTCTTGTATTTACTAATTTATATTAATTATTAATAAAAATCAACATTTATTATTTGAATTCATATCTTAACAATATTTTATCATTTCAGTTTTGAACTAAATGCAACAGACCCACTCAGAATACGCTCAAAGACCAGGTAATATAACTACTTCTAAATCTTTTTATTTACACTATATATAATTAAAGATTTTCAACTTTCTTAATTATTATTTTTTGTTAAATTTTTATTTTGTAGTTAAGAAGAACAAATGAAAAAAGGAAAACAAAAGCTATAATACATCGTAAAAAACTTTTAACTAGAATATTATATAGATATATTTATATGTATGTGTATGTATATATATATAAACAAATATTATACTATAAATTTATATGTATGTATATGTGTATATATATAAACAAATATTATACTATAAAAATTCTCAATTTTTTTATAATATAGCAGTATTTCGCGGTATTTCTCACAATAACACGCGGACTTTTGACTGTTTTACATCTAAAGATGAGAGCACAAAAAACATTGATAGATGTCAATTTTTTATTTTATTTATTTTATTTTTTTTTTTGCCGAGGAAAAAAAAGATTTAATTCAAATATATCACTAGAAGTCTATTTATAGCATTATCTCTAATGTGTGAGAGGGCAATGGCTCATTCTCTCCCCCAAGGAAGATTGCCGCATGTTACCATTAATTTATTCTGTACAATTTTTCTCCAACCATTGTCATCTTTTGGATAATCGAGATCTAAATTGAATTTTTAGAATTTATTTATATTTATCCTAACTATTACAATAAATATTTTTGCATCTTTATTACAATTACTTATTTTACCAAATAAAACAAATAATTATCCCACACTCTTTATCTTTACAATTGAAATTATAAATAATCTAATACAAATATATTAGTTTTGTAGAAAATACTTGCCCAAATATATTTGTTAATTTAATTATACTAATAACTAAATCAACATAACTATTAGCTTTGATTTGTGCCACTACAGAATCAAAGTTGCTCTCCAAGTTATATATTTACTTACAGAAAGCTTTAAAAAATAATTTCAAGCTCGTTTATGAAAATTTCCATATTACACGCCAACGAACTATACACTAATAGCCCCTAAGAAATATTCTTTGCATCCCTTGATCTTGTAAAGTATCACTGAGCTCTAGCTAACTTGTTGAGAAAGAAGGACAAGTAGTCCTTGTGGACCTACTAATATTTCATTAAGGAAACTAATCAATCCAAACCAGACCACAGGGGTTACATCCACTCCACCTAGCGGAGGAATCAGCTTCCGGGTCGGGATGAGAAGTGGCTCCGTCGGACCATAAGCTATCACATACGGGAACTTTCCCACCGGAAGTTTTGGATACCAGGACATGACTATTCTAAGAATGAACAAGAAACCAAATGCTGATAGACAGGGTCCTAGAATCCCAACGGCCAGCTTTGCAGTAGCAGGGTCAAGATCAGCTAATACCAATCTCCCAGTAAAATCTGAGACAGCTTGTGATGTCTCTGAACTAATGCCAATCTTGAAATCTTCTGCAACTGCATGCAAATTGTATATCTTCGGCAACAGACTCGAATTAAATTGTGAATACTCAATGTTAGGCTTGATGAAACATAAGGAACAACCTGCAACTCTGCTATTCAGCTTAGTATGTCTTTTAGGGAGGAACTTGTACCTTTCCTGTCACAAGCATTGATAATTGATTCAAATTTTTTTTTCACTATCCTCACTTAATCCTTAAAATACATATGTACTTTTTTATATTCATACTTAGAAACAAAGTAACCGTAAATTCTTAAGCGGTAGCATTTAGTAGACTCGTTGTTGCGGTACCAGCAGAGGCACGAATGTGAAAGAGCAAGCAGTCAACTCATACTACATATTGCAAAAATAATGAGTCTAAATGTTGTTTTTTTTTTTTTTTTTGCATTATTCATGATCAAAATCTCTCTAACTAAATTCGCCATTATACAGGAAAATAGTTAGCAAAAGGAACTATTTTAACTCGTCGAATTTCATTTTTCATACACAAGGATGAAACAAATTTGAAGAACTGAGATTCTACATCAAGTTCTGTTGATAAGATTCTCCCACCTATGACTTTCCTTGTTAGCATGACATTATTGAAAAGCTAGAGAGAAAAGCGCAACTTTTCATTTCAATAATCCCAATATTTAAGTCTTTTTTTATGACTATTTATAGCTCACCAATAAATCGATAAGAAAATACCCAGTAGGACAAACAACACGCTAGGCAAAGAAAAAAAAAAAAAAAGCAAAACTAAATTGACAAGTTAAGATACTTAACGACTAGTACAACTAAAACCCCCTACTTGACGATGTTACACACCTTAAAACTTCAAATAATAACGCACATTCACTAGTTTTCTTTTCTTTTTATTTTCCATTTTGCCAGGTTTTTTTTTGTTTTTTGTTTTGTTTTAGTATATCAAACACAAATCACCAATTCATAATTTAACAACCAACGGAGCTAATTATCAACAATCCAATCAGCACTGTAAATCATCCAAGCAAGTTTAGTGGACTTCCTATGCAATTTTGTACTTGCCAACGAAATCACTTAACAAGCTACATTTAGCAAGGTTATTTACATCCAATAAATAACTTAGAACAAAACCCAATTGTAGAAATAAAAAGATTTAAAAAAAAACCTCTATACTAATTGCAAAAGCCCAAAAAAGAAAGAAGAAGAAGAGAGAAGAAGAAGAAAAAAAAAGAAGCAACTTTAAAATTCGGATTACACATATGGTTCGTATATTCAAGGAAAAAGAAAGAAAATTGGGTACTTACGGAGGTATTGGAAGTTCCTAGCTTGAATGCCTGAGAAGGACATTCTACAAAACAAAATTGAAAACCAGTTTAACTAAAAGAACGAGAAATGGAAAACCCACTTGGACAATTGAAAGAAAATGAAAACCCAGAAGAGAAAAGAGAAAAGAGAAGTTGGTTCTGTGTATTGTTTGCTAACCTTTGATCTGAACGTGGTTGAGAAGGTATGAACATGTTGCCATTATGCGGTCGGTGAGAGACAGAGTGGGAAGGCGGAAATGATTGAAGCGAAAAGGAAAATGGTTTAAGCTGTTAACGTTATCTTCATTATCTTTCCACTACTATACCCTCTTCTATTTTATTGTCTGTTTTTCTGGTTTTTTTTAAGACAAAATTAAGTAACATTATTTTATTTATATCTTTTTCGTAAATTTATCCCATACTATTAATAATTTTAAAATATTTTTTTTTACAAATTATAGGTTATATTTTATAATTTATAGATAATTTTTCATAAATTGTAAATTATCTTTTAAATTTATAAATTCTTTTTCATAATTACAGGTTATTTTTTATAATTTATAAATTAATTTTTATAATGGCATTAAAATTTTATAGGGACATAAATAATAGAGTTAGAAATAATAAGGACGAAACTTGAAATTTTCTTTTGTTAACCCCTTTTTAATTCAAGATTTTTTGGGCCCAGATAACGGAAGAGTTAAAAAAGAAGAAATTATCAAGAATGTTATAAAAAAAACACACTATTTTATTATATCACCAATTTTAAATTTATCATTGATATTCTGATTCAGAATTTTTTTCTGACATTATATTTTTATATTCTTTTGGAATATACTTCATACTATACTCAGAGATATTTTTTTAATGACATAAGAGTCATGAAAAATAATGGTTATTCTTATAATTTAGTCTTAAAAAAAATAGTACCCTTGAATTTTGGTTAAATACTCCATTTTTTTTTTTCACCAATAGTTTTGCTGATTTAAAAGATAGGGTTTTTGTACACATGTCCTATAAATTTATGTAGTTCTAATTCTAGAAAATTACTCAAGTTCACAAAATTATTGCAATACGCCTCATTTTAACGATAATCGTGTTAACTAGTAATGAAAAAACACATTCGATGATATGCTCTAATATATCAATACAAATCATAACATAAATTTCTCAATTTTCTAACTCTCTGTCCCTTAAATTTGAAAAAAAAAAAAATCAGAGTAAAATATGAGGTTCATTAGATAATAATTTCCTAATTTTTATAGAACTTTTTTTACATTAAATGCAAATTGTTCTAGTTTTTAATAATATAATAACTGTAAATTTAATTTTCATCATTTAATATAAAATATAACTATTTTTGTAAAAATTTTTGTTATTTTTCGCCTGAGACGTGAGGATCTGTGCAAAATTTTTTGACTTTTGTCGTTGATTATAATGTGTAGGTATCAAAGTGATCAAAAATCAAAAGTTTTAAAAGCAATTTATTAAAATTAAAAGTTTAGTGATTAAAGTGATAGAATACACATAATTCAGTGAGTAACAGTGCTAATAACCCGAGATAATTATGAAATTTGACGATTGTATCCAAGAGGTATTTCATTTTTTAACAACCAATCGTGAGAGAGTAAAGACTTCAATGAGATTGATATTATAGATCGAAGATTGAGACATGGCGGGGGTGGACTCGTGCAGGGATTATATTAACAGAGAGAGTAATTTTTCAGATATTTATATTAAGGGCATGTTCTTTTGTCTACAAAATTTAAAAAAAGACAACTCAAGTTTCAACTTTATTTAAATTCACGTTCTTTTAAGTTTCAACTTTATTCAATTTTACTCAACTTTATTCAAGTTCTAACTTCAACTCAAGTTATAACTCAAATTCAACTCAAAAACTACACTCAAATTATACTCCAAAAGAACAACCCAAGATTCTAGAATTCGAGTTTTGCGCTAAAAAGTTCTCAGAAACAATCACATCTAACATTTTTACTATAATAAAAAATTCTCACATAAAGTCACATCTCAATTCGAATTAAAAATTCGAATCAACAAACTAAACGGATCCTAAAGTGTAAAAACTATGATGAATTTAGAGGGCATGTGTTAAAACTTAAAAATGTCATTATTTTTCTCTTCAAAGCTTATTATTATTCTCTTCAAATCTTAACTTCTGTTAAACAATTGTCGTTATTTACTACCATTTTATAAAGTCAGAGACTGATTATCGTTGATTTGAACATAAATTTAAATTTATTTAAACTTTTCTAAGAAAAAAAAAGCATATCAAAACTTTTTGGGAAGGTTAAATAAACAATATTGGTTGAATATTAAGTTTGACAAAAAATCATTCACATCCAAAGGACTTTTTTTTTTCTTTTGAACATCCAAACGACATTGTTTAAAATGACTATTTTTTAATCTTTTTGTTTTTTGAGTAAACCTTTTCGTGTCATACTATGAAGTTTGAACAATTTTTTAACGGTTTTTCAAAACAATAAACTGATCAGATCAAAATAATTTTTCGTTCAGTTTGATTTAGATGCTCCTTTAGAAGATTCAAATGCAATTTTAAGCACTCAGGGTTGAGAGAATGTTTGCATATATATCTGAATCCAATATCGGTACAAAGATGAGACATCAATTTCATCTATAAAAGAAATTACACATTACTCAGTAACTATCAAAAAAAAAAAAAAAAACACATGCATTTTCATCATGTAAACTCTACCATCTTAAAATAATATTCTATACTCGCTAATATCATCTATATATATATATATATATATGCATATATACATACGTACATACAAGGAGAGGCTTACAAATCTTCTCAGCACACCTTGAAAGTGAAAACCAATTTACTATTTAGTATATGGACTCCACTAACATAATATATTATTATTTAAATAGAAAATGAGATAGTAGAATTTACGTGTCAATGAATACATAAAGTGATAAATAGACTGATACTAGTATTTCTCTTCATATATATATGAATCCATATCAATACAAAGATGAGACATCACTTCCATCCCTAAAAGAAATTACACATTACTCAATAACCGTTATAAAAAAAAAAAAAAACCATACATTTTCATCATGTAAACTCTACCATCTTACAATAATATTCTATACAAGCTAACATCGTCTATATATATATATATATGTATGCCTATATACATACGTACATACAGGGAGAGATTTAAGCACACCTTGAAACCAATTAGGTGAAATGGCTGCATCCACAAACGAGAGAAATAAAGTGCATATATAAAATATACTCCATGTTTAAGTTGTAGCATTCAACTAGATGGATCTGTGGATAGAGAACTAGAAAAGCTAAAATAAAGATTATTCAACTCACCTCGAAAGTTGTGGAATTATTCTGAATTCGATCTCTGCATATGTTACTTTATGAATATTGATTCTTTAGTTCCAAGAGTCTTGACCACCTCTTATCAATACCACCAGATCTTGCTCCACCATTATCTACAAACAAAAGTCGATTTTAGTCCTAACAATTCACTAGCCTAAAATTGCAATATTATTTAACATAAGCTGAAAAAAAAAAAAAAAAAAAACCACCAATCCTGTGGCGCAAAGATTAGGATGGTTGTGCGGCACTGGACTTGTAGCATAATGAGAGTGGAATTGGGTCTATTTTTCGAGTAGAACTGGTAGGCTTGTGATACATATTTTATCATGTAGATAATTTCTTGTCAAGATGAATATTCCATGATAATATCACATCCTTTTGATCCGTTTGATTGGTATTGCTTATAAGTAATATTCAATTTATAATCTATCTATGTGATATATCCCCATTTCTTTTTCTTTGTGATGATAAATGACCTACTTAACTCAGTGGACCTCGGCGCGTGGTCCAGGATAATCCACAGTCTGGGGCTATTTACAACTATCTAATTAAGAATTCTCAGATGTACTAGTAGTAGCAAGTGCATCAAAGATGCAATCATCGATTTGCCCAAGAGGCCACAATTACCGCGAACAAACATATTAATGACGAGGAACGCATTTTTGCTATGCTACTAATACTTGTACTTTTTCTTTTTATTAGTGGATCTTGAGAATGGGATGGCATTGATTTTTTTATTTTTTTTTGGTCCCTCATCGTTTTTGGGTAGATTATTTCCCAAACTTTGTTTTTTGGCGATTGTAGTCCCTGACTTTAACATCTAAGAACGAGTACCCAATCTACCAAGTTGTCACAAATTAGTTCTCTTGTCCATTCGGCTATTAAAATCTTGCCAATAAAAAACATAACTTCGTTTTTAAAAGTCACATCATAACATGTAAAACTACAAAATTAATCTCTGCTAAACTGCACATAATCTCAACTTGCCTTTTTTACGTTGAGATTTGAATAGTTGTATGAATGGAAGAACTAATTTAGGACAGCTTGAAAGATTTATGGTCCGTTTTGGGACATATTCAAAGTTTGGAACAGAAATAGAATTGAGTAACCTATAGTTGGGCTACTAAAATTGAGATTAACCTCTTTTTAATACAGGAGAAAAAAAAGAAGGAAATCTAAGCTGCAAAAAACGAAAATGGGGGAATACTCACTGTCAATTGTATATGAAGATTTCTCGCATAATTCTGAGCAAGTGTCCTGAAATGTGGAATTCCCATATTGCATATTCATAGACAAGTTAGTTCACAAAATTAGGAAAAAAAAAATAAAAATAAAAGTGTGTTAATATTCATCATGTATGAAAGCACATAATCTTCGTACTTTTATGGAGGTTGTAAGCCGTATCGTGTCTTGTACTAGCGAATCAAGGTCCGCTTCATTTCCAGGTTTGACATAAATCACCTGCTGGTTCAGCCGTGTAAAATCTCTGTTAATTTAAATAATTTATATGGATTAAGAGAAGAGAAATACTAATATCATTCTTTCTGTCATTCTTTTTGTCACTTTCAGTATCTACTGTTTAACACGTAAACTATAATATATTATTATTTAAATAGAAAATGAGATAATGCCGTCTATGTATCGAACAATGAAGGCAAAGAGTGATAAAGAGAGTGACAGAAAGAGTAATGCTAGTATAAGCTGAAAAGAAAAAAGATGTGTAGATCATAGAGAGTTTTTAGAGACTTAATGATGGATCATCTCCTAGTTCTGGTAAGCAAACTTCACGTTTGTCCCGTCTTGATGGTAGAACCCATACATTAAATTGTGTATCAATCTGTTACAGTAAAATAACAAACTCAGAAGACAGCTATTATGCTTGTTAAATATAATTCATTATGAAAAAGTGTGAGGAAAAAAAAAATCATTGTTTGCAATTAACCATTAGATAGTTCTACACAAACAAGGATAAATATCATTCTCGTACCAAAATGGGTTTTTAGAACAATTGTCCCCCAAACTTGTCACGATTTAACAAATTACACCCCAGATTTTTAATTCTGATGATCAACTCCCCGAGCTTATAAAATTGTTACAATGTGTCCCATTTTACTAAATTTGCTCAAATTTTTATAAGATTTAAGGAATTAAAAATTGAGAAATCGAAAGATTTGTCTTGCATTTAAATTAGGATGTTGAAACTTTTCATCAAATGTGCTTTTTCGACACTAATTTAACACAATCATTGTCAAAATAGGGCACATTGTAACAGTTTGACAAGTTGATGAGGCAACTTGTCAAAATTAAAAGTTCAAGAGGCAAATTGCTAAAATCATACGAGTTTAGGGGACAAATGTGTAAAATATCCTATAGTTTAGCATTCTAAAGTAGGCCTGCCAGTACCTATGTATCTTTCGCAAATTATAAAATCCAAGAAGAAGTGATCTAAAACCAACATATTTCTAGTACATAATAAAGGAAATTTGCGGATTAGCAGCATATTACGTGTTATGAACAAAGAACAAGAAGTGCACATTTTTTATTTTGGAAATTTTACAGCATTGTGATTGCCTCAATCTGAGATATAATACCTTCCTGCAGTATGGAGAATTGCAGTTGCTACATTTTCTAGGGAATGATGTGATGATCCTTCCGTCAACAGAGAAGCCAAAACTGGCATGCTTGAAAAAACAAAGAGAAATATGGTAGTATACTTAATAAGAGGCCAAAACCCCGGAACCGAGGTCTACTTGCCTGCAATAAGAGCACCTCCAATGCAATGCTAATGTCAAATTTTAGCATTTTAGTAAGAGTGCTACCACAAACTATTTCTAGTAAAAATACGGTTCCATGGGAAATCTGTCATTTTCATACTATTTTGTGCCAATTATAGCATTGATGTTTACATTTTCATTGGAAATGGTCTCAGACTAAACGTCAATATCAATGCTTTATCTCTTGTTAATTATGCTATTCTATTTTGTGCTCTAATGCATAATTGCTATTTCAAATTCTATATATGCTTTTGGTCATAATTATTAAGCTATGGAAATTGTGAATTTTTAATATCAAAATAATTTCGAAAAGAACAATGATGTAATTACTAAATAAAAAAGGTGAATACATCAACAATAGTTGAGCAAGATAGCCACCAAAAAAAAAAAAAAACCAAAAGTAAAATGTTGCAGAACTATGAGTACCACCTGGTATCTAACCTCACTATGATCACCATACCCTATTACTTCTATCCCTGCTATTATTATTCTCATTATTTTTGTTTCAGGAAATAGAGGAATGGAGAAATGTGGACAGTTTCTCTCAATTATGCACATTTTTGTTACACAGATAATGTCTGCATGAATCTGATGAAGTATGTGAAATGTGATTATTTATACAAAATCATAGTTCTAGAAAAAAAAAAAAAACAATTTTAGGAAACAAAAAAGTGATTTTGTTTCTCATGAATGTGATGTATACCAGAAGACAAAGAAGAGAAAGTAGAGTTACCTTCTGGACAGAGAGTTTGATAGAAACTTGAGCATTTTTTTGACGTTCATCATCTACCAAGTCCTCCAACCGCAGATCTCGGAGCGAGAGAAGATATTCGGAATCCCATTTCCCATGCCATCTCCCATCCCCCGTTGATATCGTGATCAGACGGCGTGGATTCGGAGTGATGCTACTCCTTTTACTGATCTGGCGTTGCAGCCCCCAGATGAAAAACATCACATACCAAGATAAAAGAAAGGTAGACATATACTCAGTTGCTAATGAGTCTTGTATGGAACATAAGAAAAAATAAATGGAGTAAAGAAACATAATAATTTAACACATATTGCTTAGAGAATTGCTCTAATGAAATTCAATGATCAAGTGAGGATCCCTAAAATCAAAATCAGCAATTACCAAATAAATCTTTCTAATATACTGAATATTAATTAGTATCAATGTACTAATAGTTTTTTTTTTTACACCTTTAGAGATAAGCTAGATAACTCTGCAATTTGAGTGATCCTTGGCAAACCAAAATATATACTCCAAACTTCATGTTTTCATTCTCAAGGGGCAAATTTACTCTGAAACTAAACAATAATGTTTTAAAAACCTATGAAACTAAACTTCATAGTGTTGATTACAGGACAATTAAGACAAATTCATGTCTAATACTAGCTAACAGTTTGTATTAGTAAAACTGAAACCTCTCCTTGTTTCCAAATCTACAACTAAAAACTACTCTTTTAAATTCAAACAAATTTTTTCTTTCAAGAGAATTTCAAACATTTTCAATAAAAAAAAAAAAAAAAAACCAAACATACTCGAAAAATAAGGGAAAATAAAATGGAGTTGGGTACTTACAATTATGCTGGAATTTCTTTGTTTGGATATAAGAGGCTGCAATCCTAAGGGGGGAGGAAAAAATGTAAAAGAATTACCCAAAACAATGAAGTAAATGAAAAACCCATTTGGGAAGAAAAGAGAAAATTTTTTTTTCTAGATATATCATTTATTACCATTAACTTGAACATGATTGGGAAAGCAAGAACGAGCAGCCATAGGTGCACTGGCACTGATACTCGGGGAAGCGGAACGTTATCCACTGCCTTTTAATTATGAGAACGTAACCGGCAACGGGTTATACCAAGTTTCTCTGAAATAATTAGAAACGTGTTTGGAATTAATTATGTTTTTATTTTTTATATTTAAAAAATAAATAAAAATATTTTTAAATTAGTGTTTGACATAATAAAAAAAAATATAAATAAAAATAAATTTTTGATTTAACAAAAAATTTGAAGTTAAAAAGAGAGGAATAATTTTAATTTGGTACACGAAATTCTCTTTTATAATTTTAAATTGGTATATTTACCTGCAAATGCATTTACAAAGTTTAAAGTTAAATAGAAGAGATAATTTCAATTTTGTACAATTTGTTATAGCGAAATTATTTTTAGTGTCATGTATTTTTTATAATTTTATTTAGGATCCGTTTGGTAAAAGAGATGAATTGATGAAATGATTAATAGAATATGAGGGAATGAAAGTGAGAAGAAAGGGATGGATTGTAATTTTCTTTAAAATTTTTGGGTATAATAAGAAGGAATGACTGCTGTTATTCTTCTTTTTTGTTTGGTATTGAAAAGAAATGAGGAGATGATTAGTTTGACTTGTAAAATTATTATATTATCTATACAAAATAAATTAATTTTCTTTCTTAAGATGCATATTGATTAATAATTAATGATATTATACTCTTTTTTTTCAAATAAAATCTTTAATATTCATATTGTACCCACAAATAATTTACTTTCAGGAAAATTTTACCTATAAGAACATTTTTATAGAAAAATAAAACTAATATATAGACACACAAAAGAGGACCTTTCACGTAAAAGGAAAAAGTTGAAAAATAAGTTAATAGATACAAAATGTATTTCATCAAAGTAAATTAAAGTAAAGAAACGTAAAATTGAAAACAAAAAAAGAAAATAAATAAATTTAAAAGAGAGAGAAATAGTTAATCCAAAGAAACAAAAAAAAGAGGTAAACTTTTAATTAACAGCCATTCATGCTAGCATTCTCACACTTCTCGTCCATTTATTGGGGATTAATTTTTGGTGGGGCTCAGGAATTGGCAACCCATCTCACAGGGTTTTTATTTTTTTTATTTTTTTTATTTTTTATATTTTTGAGTTAAGGTGATTTGAGTGGTGATCTTGAGTTGAGTTTGAATTATAATTTGAGTTGAAGTTGTAACTTGAGTTTGTGTTTTGATGTGCACATTTGAGTTATGATTTGAATTGAGAATCTATTTGAATTTGTATTTGAGTAGGTCAAAACTTAAATTTGTATTTAGATATTATTTTAATAAAAACTCAATGGTGATGAAAAATTTTAATAGGGTATATAGGTAGGGTTTTATTCGTATTTTCGTTATGAATGCGTAGAGAAAAAAATCATCTCAATCAGAATTAAAACGAAAAAATTATGACATTTTTAAGAATAAAAAAATATTATTTATTAACTTGAGTTTGAATTTATGAACTCGAGTTGAAGGGAAAACTTGAACTCGAGTATAGCCCCAAACTTGAACTCGAGTTTAGCCCCAAACTCGAGTTCAAACTCAAATTTTACAAAAGAACACGAACTTAAATAAAATTGTAACTCGAGTTCAAACTTTTTCTGAATTTCGTTATAAAATAACAACCTCCTAATCTTTCCGTTGTGCCAATCCCTTCTACTAAACAATGGATTACCTCAATCCCTCCCTCACTTTGGCTTAGTTTGGTAGTGCTGTAGATTTTAGAAAAATTGTTTTTAGCTGTGCTGAAGGAAAAAGCAGCTGTTACAAGAAGCAGCTGAGTGTTTGGTAAACTGTAATTATAGTAGCTGTGCTGGTTCCAAAATCAGTGTAATAGCATTTGGTAAATTTTGAGGTGAAATTGCTGTGGGTATGTAAAATGACCAAAATAGATATAATATGAAACTTAAATATATATAATTATTTTTAGTATTTAGAAATACTTGTTTAACTTTAAAAAAAACATGGTGCTATGATTTTAAATTTTTTAACAATAAATTTATGATAATTAATTCTTTTTTTTTTTCATTTCTTCATTCACAATACAATTACAACTAAAAAGAGCATAATGATAAATTCTCAATCTTGTTAATGCAACCAAATACCATATGGTTGCAATCACCCGACCTATATCTTTTACGACTTCAAAATCTACATTTGTATAATGCTACAAAAAAGTAGCCACAGAAGTAATTATAATTTGTAGGAATACTACACAAAAAAGATTTGAGTCTTAAGCCTAATCTGTCTGTAAGAATGTATTTACTTTTCAGGTAACTTACTATCAACAGCCAACAGGCGAGCAATTTTATCCAATTTGGCAATAAAATATTCTCTCCTCATCTCAACAGCAAAATTACTCTGTTCTAAAAGATGTCGTTTACTCTAACAAATATAAGGACGCTATTTGTCAAAACAGCATTTGAAATTTGAGCAAGAACTCCTTCGAGAAAAAATAAGCTTCACTATCAGCTCTCACCCTTGACACATGTCGACTTGTCATACTCTACCCTACTCTCAAAGCAAAATCAAACAAACAAATCTTGAACAGAAGAAATACCTACTATATTATTAGCAAAATCGATAATCCAACAGAAGAACATAAGCCAAACAACAAATCCAGTTCTCTCCAAACGCTAAAACAATCCATTGCCGCAGATTATCGCTACTGCAGAATATTGGAACAACTACTTGCAACGGGTAGATAAAACATGAACAGAGGAAAAACTGCATCAAGGCATACATCCATAATACAACTAAATACTAAGCCAAATCAGATCTTGCGGCTGGCCAAACTTGCATCCCGCATCTCCCATGCAGGTCTACTTTCCCTTGCAATACCCGTCCTGATTGCCCGCTCAATTGGTTTAATGGCAAAGAAGAACTACAAAAAACAAGGCAAATTGAAAGCAATTCATTGAATCAGGAAAGAGAAGCAAAATTTAAGATCTTTCTTCCCCAAGAAAAAGCGAAAAGAAAATTTCCACGGGCTTACTTGGATTAATAAAATCAAAGGAATGAAGGTCTTCCCCTTCTCATTGGGGTTTGGCGCTTCAATCAACTTCGTATCAACAAAAATAGACTTGCTTCCATTCAACGCCACTTCCGTGATTTTTTCAACTAAATAAGAAATCCAAGCAATTCCATTCGGAAGATCCTATTTCCAAAGAATAGCCAATCTTGTCAATAACTTGAAAAGGATAAACAAAAGCTTCACAAAAGGCGTTGACCAAAACCCCTTAGATTGAAAGCTCAAAAACACAATATTATGTTATAATTGTTGAACTATTAAAAAAAAAAAAAGAAGAAGAAGAAAAGAATAGTAACTTCAATATGTAAGGATAACTAAAGCTCGATTCCAGATTCGTTTGCCAAAATTGTTGGTAATGGCTCTCATAACCTCTTTGTCCAAGTTATCAACTCTGCAAAATGCAACACACTGGTTTTGTGAAAAAATGATAGAAAGCAATACTCAAAACCTTCAAACCAAACTAAAACAGTAATCAACCAAGCAAAGAGAAAAGGACAACAACCTGAAAAGGACTAATGTTAGCGAGCAAAAATCATATTAAAAAAACTATTTTTTGTCCAAAGAAAAAAAGAATTCAAGATTATAAAATTATGACTAAAGGGAAAAAATAAATAAATAAAAGTTCAACCTCCTGCTTGAGTTTTCCCAGCAATTCGAGCAACTTGGTCTGAGTGGCAGGGGCGAATGAATTAATCCCTGACCATTCTTTGACACTTTGGGCAGCCACTTCTCAGTCTAATTCTTAACTATTCCTAAATTTAAGATAAAAGAAAGAAATAAACCAAACATCAATGATTCAACTAAAAAAAATGAATTAAAAAGTAACGATAGCAACACAGGCACAAAGTCCACAATCCTCATACAAGTCGTCCAGGCATAAATTTCTTCCAATATCATAAACCATTTTCACAGTAACAAAAGAAACAAGCAAGATTTACAAAATGAAAAAAAAAAAAAAAAAAAAAAAAAAAAAAAAAAAAAAAAACCCAATTGCCAAACCAGCAAACGGAGCACACAAAACCCAAATTTGGGTTTAGCGAGAAAACTGTTAAATAAAATAACAAGAGCAAATAACAGCCTTCTACTTACGCATATTGCAAGACAAAAAGAAATAAATTTTGAAGGTTTCGATGCTTTATTCTAGTTGAATTCAAGTAAAGCCACTTTCTAACTGTAAAAGCCAAATATAGAGTCAATGAAAATTGTAACAAGCGATCTCATAAACACCAAGATCCACCATTCTCAAAGCAATGAGAGGTAACACTTACCAATGGGCTTCACATGCTACACGAACAGAGATTTTGGGGACTTCGCCGCCGACAATCGCAGGAGATAAACGGAGATAGGGAGTCCGAGAGAGAGAAGAAAAATAAACGGAGGGAGAGAGCTTTGGCTGAGAGAGCGAAGGTTGAGGCTGAGGGAGGGTGAGGCGAGAGAGCACGAGAGGAGGCTGGAGGCTGAGGTGAGAGAGCACGAGTGAAGGTTGAGAGGCTGAGAGTTTCAGGGAAGGGTGAGGAGATGTGTGCACGAGGATGAGGGAGATGGGTTATTTTGGGAATAACCAAAATTTCATTAAAGCCTTCCTTCAGATTCCCGCACAATCTGAAATCAGAAGCAGCTCGCAGCAAGTGAGCTGCTTCTGATTTCAAATAGAAAATAGCTTCCGGATTCTTTAAGAATCCATTTTTATGTGTTTACCAAACACATTTTTTAGCTTCAGCTGAAAAAAAAAGTGCTTTTGGCTTCCCAAAAGCACAACCAAACGGAGCCTTTGGCTTAGTTTGGTAATGCTGTGGATTTTAAAAAAAGTGTTTTTAGTTGTGCTGTAAGAAAAAGCAGCTGTTCCAAGAAGCAGTTGAGTGTTTGGTAAATTGTAATTATAGTAGCTGTGCTGGTTCCAAAATTAGTAAATAGCGTTTGGTAAATTTTAAGGTGGAATTGTTGTGGGTAT